GAGACAGGCATAGACGATTTCCACCCACTCGATCAGAGCAGCAGAGACAAGGAATCCAAGTGGATCCAGAGTCAGGGAAATGGAAAAGGGTCCAATAACGGCCAAGAGTTGATATAACCGTATTCCGCGCATTTTGGTTCGATGGGGTGAAACTTGAGCCAAAACTTAAAATTTCATTTAACTTTTGATCAGTCTTGGAAGTTGCGAAAACAAAGATCGTTGCAAATGAGTTTGAAGCTGAAATTTCAGACGCCAAATCTTTGATCCCTTATTCAACAAGGAGGGATCGATTTTCCGAGTAGAAAATGGATTTCAACAACGATCTCTGGAAATGAGTTTGAGTCTTGGATGGTAGATAGAAGAGTTATGTACAACAGTTTTCGGAATTGTTTCTAACTTACTTAAAGGATTTCAAACAAAACCTCGTCCTAACGTGAAACTTTATCACATAAGGTAACTACAATTAAGGTTTTAGGGCTGACTCATTGAGTAATAAGCAGATATATATATTACTCAATGGGGCTGAAAAGCAATCAATCAGTCGGTCAGTAAGTTAGTCAGGACAAACAGTTTAATACACAAAGCTAATGAAATAATAAGAGAGTAGGCCATAAAGAAGATGAAATTTAACACGACTTTGTTTGCCTAACATGCCTTTTAACACGCTTCAAAAGCACGAACAGTTAAATGCTAGCCAAGAATAAAATGTATTAACTAAAAAAAAACATTAAATTGAAGCTTACATATGTTGCCAGCTGGCCTATGGCTACAGCTTTTTCCTTTTTGATCACATGCAGACTAAAAGTTACACTTCGTGCACATTACTCATACGCCCCAGTGGGCAAATTTATGAACTCGCCAGTACACTTGAGTCGACGACATAAAAGCTGGCAAAAAAAAAACACACACACACACACACACAGACTACACTAACAATAAGTGCGTTTGTGTGTTTATTAGAGAGTATGTGGCAGTAAGGCAGCTTGTAAAATATGCCAAGGGTTAAAAAGTGTGCAGCGCATATAATTCATACAACATGAAAGTGGGCAAACAAACACGGCATGGAAGGCAAAGGGGAAAGACCTGGGTACAAAAAGGCTAAAAGTGCTTGGGTGCAAAGAGTGCAAAAGTAAACGAGCGTTGCGAGAGTTGAGACATGAACACAGAAAAGTCAACTTAAGAAAACGTTAACTCCAGTTTAACTAGGATGTAAAACCTAACAATACAAATGAGGTCAAATGTATTAACTAAATGAATCACACATAAGTTACAATAAATAAGCAAGTGTTGCCCATTGCTCGGGGCTATTCGTTATTTACAAATTCATGCCACCTAATTCCCCGATATATATAAATATCTTGAATTAGACGCCAAAATAAAAAGAACAATCAACTTTGGTATTTTAAGGTCGAATGAAGAAAATAAAAGTTGAAGTACAGGAATTTTTCGCCATTACAGATGTCATTTAAAATAAGTAACAGGTTCTAGTCGGAAGCGCCTGACTAGGGGATATCCTGAACCCTCTTCTTCCAACATCAAATGCATATATATATTCTATTTTAGAAGCTATATGTCAAGTTTGGTGACTCTAGCTCTTATTATTTACCAAAATTGCCCAAAAAAAAGGATTTCGATATAGATTTTTATCGATTATTTGGAAACAGAGTGAGTTATCGATTATCGGAAACGAACTCGATCTGCGCAGGCACTATTAGGACCTTCTTCAAGTCTCTAGCTCTTATAGGTTCTGATATCCTTGCGTTCTTACTTACGGACAGACGGACATACGGACAGACGGACGGACAGACAGACGGACATGGCTAGACTCGGCTATTGATGCTGATCAAGAATGTATACACTTTATGGGGTCGGAGATGCTTCCTTCTGCCTGTTACATACATTTTACCCATTTTCAATGGATTCAGGGTATAAAAAAAAGAAGTTATATATTTGAAGCACTAAACTGGAACTTTGCCCGTATAGCCTTGCCAACAAGGAGGATAGTTTTACCGATCGGAAAGTGTACAGAAAAGAAAAATATTCTAATTGTTCACTAATCAATCGATAAATCAGTTGGCATTTGGTGCTCTTCCCAAAATCTAAGCTTATCCCTTGATATAAAATTTGTTGCCCTAACTGACGGACTAAATGACTTATTGGTGATCAATACTTTTCGGGAAATCCCTTGCTGCTTGGTGGAAAGAATCTATGAATTTAACCTTCCTCTGGGGAAAATATGATTCGAAGATTTTTTGGGCGAAGTTTTAGGTTTTGTCAGATTGGCTTCAAACTTATCGCTTTAATAATCAAATGAAACTAATTTTCAAAGATGTTTGTGTAAAATTATTTGATCGCCTTTTTAGCAAAAATCCACCACTTTTGCGCCTTCGCAAAACGTTAATGCCACCTTTCGGTTCTTTATTCAATATAAGCATATTTTCAATTAGAAGTGGAATTCAAGCTAATAAGCGTAGCGCGAGAACTAGATAAAAAACATATGTCTACAATTATAAGTCCAAGGCTTGCCACGGGCATGGCCGGGGAAAAGTCCACTAGTCACATCTTCTTCTTAGTAGAAACAAGGCGTGAAATATCCGCTTCCGCAATAAAACAATTAACGTGAAGGGCTTATATACTTATAATGTAGCCTGTTCGACCCAGTGTACAATAATCCACTTAGATGGGCATTTGTGTTTTGCCTAAAGTGCCCTTTCCGGTCAATTGTGTGCTTGGAGATTTTTAGGCCCGCATAAATGAACTGCCAAAATGCTAACAAAAACACAACCAGAATGTTTGCCGGCGCCAGTCCCTTATTTGTCTTTTGGGACTGACTGCCAAAAAAGGACAACTGCAAATCCTTTTTTCTGCCCACATGTGTGTGGCCGCAAATTCAGTTAGCCACTTAATTTTGTGGTCGGCACAGCACACAAAAATATATAACACACGCATGTGCTACGCCTAATTGAAAGCTTTGTTAGCCGAGTAAATGGAATTGAATTTAATCTATGGGAAATACGCAATAAATCAATTTGTAAGCCAAAATGCAACTGCTTTGATTAGCCTTTGCTTAAACTAAATTAAATTAAGTTAATATTATATTAATAAAGACAATTCCACATAATTATCAATTCAGATAATGAATGGGAATGCAAATGTTTCTCAGCTATGATATCATATCAATATCGAGCACTATTACTTAATTTTCCCACTCAGCGTAGAAAAAGCTTTCGAATGAGCACAGTGCTGATGAAGACAGCAGTTTTATAATGGCATCCATTTAAAAAATAAATAATGTAGAAGCCTTTCTGACATAGCCAAACTATGGCTTTGGCCCAGGTAAAAATATGTAAATGCTTGGCGTTGATTAGAAGCGCCAGCATCAGATGATAAACGCCTATTCGGTATATTTAAAAGCCAAAACTTTACGATATTTTTATGATAGCCAGAGCTTTGGACAAATGTATTGTCTTTGGGTTATTACTGTTGATTTTGAAAGGTAGGTGTTCGGTTTATGACACCGGCATTAGCATTTGTATGGTGCCTTGATTTTGCAGCAACTGCTTTGGCCATGAATTAAAACATAAGAACTGTAATAAAATGCCGAAGCGATGTTGCTAAATGCTTTTTATTAAATTCATTTAATATGCAGATTGCCGATTTACATTAACTTTAAGTTGGGGTTCATTTGAAAAGCCATTTGTTACCCGGTTCCGCTGGGGGCTCAAAATATCTATGTATTTAAACGGAATATGATATGCATTTGTTTTCCCAATCAGTAAAAGGAGAGATTTAATTAAATTTATAGAATATTTTCCCTCTTGTAGATTTTTCATTCGAAACCCTGTTGAATGGCCCCAACTTATTTAAGCAACTAACTAATATATATGCATTACGTATTTTACGATACTTTTCCCTTTCCGTTAAAAATGAACACATTAATAAGCAGCTGTTTTCTGTTTACAGCTCGTTCAGCAGATTCTCCCAATTGGTGTCAGGCAGCCTGTTTATTAGTCTCTCGCCAACTTACAAAACTGCGCTCTCTCTCTCTGGTAACCGTCTCTCGATGCTCGCGCTCTCCCTCTTTGTGGCACCTAATGTTTTATCTGACCACATATTTTTCCACCGCCCACCTGCTCACCACAACGTGTAAACAATTATGGCCGACGCCGTTGTGCTCAATATTACCCAGCACAACCGCAACCTCAACAACAACAAGAGCAACAAAAAATCCCAAAATGGCTTCACAGAAGCGTCGATCGTCCAATAAGCGACGGCTTTTCAAAATTCTTGTGTGTGTGTGTGTGCGTGTGTGTGAATTTATTCATGGAGGCAGCAAGAAAATAACATACATGTATCGAACATGGTTTCATTAGTTATTTTTGAAACTATTCAATAGGAATAGATAGGCATAGAATACGAGTTCACTTCGCTTTTTTTAGTAAATTATATTTGTTTTTTAAAAAATAAAATAATAACGTGAGCCCAGTGTAGTTCGTATAAAACTACTTTCCGCTGCTTTATGTTTATTATGACAGCATGCTGCGAATCTGTCTACTACTAAATGCAATTTAGTACTTTTTGATGTGAGGAGGCATCTGCTGTCTCAGCAGCAGGCATGCGCTCTCAGCAAAGAGCGTTAGCCCCACAAAATGTGCGCTCGCTCGCTCACAACGATGCTCTCACTCTCCACTGCGCATGGTGTGTTATGTTGTCGCTCAAACAACAACAAAAGCACACTTGTTGAAAATGAAAACGACCACAACAAAGAGAGCAAGCACACACATTAAATGCTTGAGACTGAACTGGTTTCCGAACAAGTTGTGCTGTACGCGAGCGTTCCGCTTATTTTACACTCTGGAGACTCGAGACTCGAGAGGCGAACGGCAACAACTGAGACTCGTTCGAGCCACAACAATGGCGAGAGCGGAGCGAAAAATGAATGAGTATGAATGTTGTTTATAGATTTTTAGTCGAATTCTGTTATTTCACGTTAAAGTACGTACGTGCACTGCGAACGGATTGCGAACGGAGTGTGTGAAATTGTTGAACGTGTGCCGCGTGTCAGAAAACTACGTAACAAATTACTTACATTCATGCATACACATGTGCATACATATTTCTTAAATATTTTCGAGTGATGTTCTCCAAGGTGCTTTATTCTTAGACTGAGCCGCATACATAGTCTTAGAAAAGTGTTTAATTCAATTTTCAAATACAAATACAAGTTGCTTGTGATTTACGCTTCGTTAAACACTCTTATAGAGGTCGATCCCTCGCACTGCTCCTCCGCCTCCTGCCACCCCCCTCCGCCGGCCGTCATACATGCTGCAGACATACATGTATGTCAAAATCACACGTACGTGCCTCGTCATAAACACGCCCTAAACGAGGCATTCAGGCGAAACCGCAAAACCAAAGAAAGAAAGTAATTTAATAGCTAAAAATTAATTCTGGTTGTTTTCTTAAGCGTATTCATGAATGCATTTTGCAGCTTTTGGCGCGTAACGCAAAATATGCAATTATAACGTGCACAAATAAAATCATCAACAAATAAATGTTCACCAGCTGCAATTATACTCTTTAATGAATTTATTACACAATTAAGGTGGCAACAGCAGCAACAACAACAACAACAAATAATAATAAAAATTAATATGCCGCTGGCGTGAAAGTCACAGCTCGGTAAAACAAAAACAAAAAAAACCCCCCATTGAATTATTAATGATATAAATTATTAACAACAATTCAAAAATCAAAAATCAACAGCCACAACGGCTTAATCGAGTCTAGAGAAGGCGCAGGCGCCGCCTTTCGCACGAGTTGGCAGCACTTCCTTTGCAGCAGGGCCCAACGTCTTCGAGAGAGATCTGCGGCCTGGCTTGGCTTTACCTAAAACAACTCCTCCTCAAACCAAAGAACAGCCTTCAAAGTGGATTTAACCAACTATAACAAAATGCTGCAGTCCAGCAATCATCACTATCTCAGGCCGGATTATATGACAACAGCGGCAGCCCCAACGGCGGTAAGTTCCCGAAGGGTTCGACTTAAAAAAAAGCTATAATAAAAAAACTGGGTGCCTCGACAAAAGAATGCGACTTGGTTTTGATAGTGCTACTAAATATAGTTCTTTTAATCCCTGCCCTATATCGGGAAATATGTAATGCATCGAAGTTGGCTTTTCGGAAGGAAATAAACTATTTATATATTCGTTGTCTGTCTTTTTCTATGCGAACTAGTCACAAAAGTTTTCAAAGACTCAAAATATCTTTTACTGTTTTTTAGTTAACTTGCCGTAATTTGCTAACTTGAGAATTTTGAAGACATTTGAGACAAATAGCTTGACAATGGAAAATAACTCCAATAGCAAAAAGTAGCCTCTATTTATTTGTTAAGTATAAGATATAACTGCATTTAGATGTACTTTTGCTCATTTTGAACAATCAATAATTACTCTCTTTTTATATAAATAATAGTAAATCATCTATATTTGGGAGATTTCAGCTTTGTTCCAATTAAAATAATACAGATTCATGCCATATAGAGCATGTATTTGATGGTATTTATTTTGATATTTTATCAATTAATTATGGTGAAATGTTTATATACAGCTCGTCGTAGCACGTCACAATTTATATCGAATTGAGGCGAGACTTGTTTGTTTTTCTGTTGAATAATAGATTCTTGTGTTTATCTTGCGTGCAATATATCACAATCCAATTGATATGGCCGGCTTATATTGTCCAGGTATCTGCTAGCGTTTAAATAAAATTAGTTGCCATTATTTATTAACGTATGATATTTCATAAATAATAGAAATGTCGACAGAAAAGCAATTACTGCACTCGCCGCAAGCGAATTTATTGTGCGAGACAACAACAATCAACAACTCCTCCACATGTCGCCTTTCAAAGTGGTTGCCAGACTGCCAGACTCTCTGACTGTCTGGCAATGTGCTTCTGTGCGAGAAGAACAAGAAATAACAAATTCGCAATCGTAGCACAATAAATTTACCAATATCTGCACATAAAACTTATTTATGTTAATATGTGTGTCGAGTCGAGTGGAATGTTGTGCAGTGGAGTGGAGTGATGTTAGACTGAGTCGACTTTAGCCAAGCTGAGTAGAGTTGTGTTCGGTAGGTGTCTATGCTTGGATGCGAGGCAACTCTGTGAACTGTATTCAAATTTATGGCGTACCAAATCTGAATTTATAATGACAGAAAACAAATGCAATTTCGCAAACACAAAACTAAAAGCGAGAAACTATGGCAGTTAATCAGAGTCAAAGACTTTACTCTTGGGCTCTCTGTTGCCCCCCAAAGTCTTAAGAGCCCATAAATTTTCATTTTCATTTCTGAGTAAATATTCGCACAAGCAACGAAAGCGTGCTTCTCAACTGCACTCAATACATTATCAAGAAGCTTCAGTGGAAAACAGTGTTGGGCAACGTCACAAATACAATTTACAGTTTGAGCAACAAAATATTGTAAATGATATGTTAAATGATTCTGGTTCCAATTAAATGAAAAAAATGACAGCTTTCAGTGGAATATTGTTCAATTAAATGTTCTAGTAAATAAATGATTGCGACTTCAAGCTAAATTTATGGTTTGCAATCTTTGCAGGTGTATACAACAAATGGAAACAACTTTTGTCATTTTTCATATTAATTATTCACGATTTAAAATTTATAAGCTTGTCACTTAAAGTAAATTTATTTACTCGAGTCGACTGCTCGACTGACTAACCCTTGCGCCTGCATTTTGGCATACACTTAATACATTTATATACATATGTAAATAACAGCTGCGAATGTCTATAAATTATTCAATGATTAATGATAGCTGCCCGCTATTAATTATAATAAAATCAAATAAACTAAGCTTGACAGCTGTCAGTGTCATCATTTGTTTTTGTGGCGCCCGAACAATAAGAAACGACTGAAATTATGGCTGACTTGCCACAAAATTACTGTTGATAATTTGCTGTCACATTTGAAAAATTATGAAGCGCTGTGCAAAACTGCCACAAAATGGAAACTAATATGGCCCGTGTTGGGTAATAACTCAAAAACTGAGTAACAGCAACGTGAAAGTCAGTTCTGTTCAGTCTCCACTCAGCTAAACTGACAGACGACAAGCTAACTTGAGCCAAGCTGAGCTGAGCTGAACTGAACTGAACTGAACTGAACTGAGCGGCTTGTAAAAAGTAAATAAAGTGCAAATGTCAGCTGACCGCAAACATCATTAATATAATTAAATGTGTCAGTCAAGCAGCCATTTATGCAGTCAGACATTCATTTCAGTTAACCACATGCTGCCAACAGAGTCAAAACCCCACTCCTCCACCCTATAAAAACGTTTGAGCAGTCAACAGTCAGCAGTTTACAGTTGCCAGTTAACAGTTCGCTCACAGCTCAGCTGGCAACTCTGGCAGCTAAAGTGTGCGCTTGACACAATGACGCTCTCGCTCCAAGCGAGAGAGAGAGAGAGAGAGAGAGAGAGAGAGCTCAGTTTCGCTCAACTCGAATCGACGCTGGGGCTTGGGTTTTGTGGCCTCCTTTTGGTGAAGTTCGTTTCGAGTTTTGGCTGTTGTAGTGTTTGTAATAGTGGCTCAGCTTTGTGTGTTTGCGTGTGGCTCTAATTAAAGTGTCATCAACAGCAGAGCACAACAACAACAAAGACAAAAACAAAAGCACAAACAACAACTATGAATAGCATAGCCCAGCATGTTAGTGATAAATTGCCATGTCTAGAGCTGTCATGTTAATTTTTCGTGCATACTGCATAATACTTTTCGCCTAAAGTGTTAATTAATTCCTGGAATAATACAAGTGTATACATGCCTGTGTGTGTGTGTGTGTGTGTGTGTGGGTGCGTTAAAAGAAACAACGACAGGTAAAAATAAAGGTGTACAGTAGATCGCAATTTAAATGAAACAACAACTCATTCGTCGCTGTGCTTGGAAATTTTAATGAATTGTATTGCAAATTTATGCTTAAAGCATAGATATTTCATAGTTTGCATCTTCCAGGCAACATAAACATGATCGCAAAGGTATATTAGTTCGGCAGGTGCCAAGGAAAAATCGCAGAAAGCGTTTAAAATTTGCTCGCCACAAAAACAATCAAGTCTTATTAAAAATAGTTAAATTCTCTTTCCTATTCACTTCAGCGACAGCTTAGAAGCTGAAGCTTGTATAGAGATAACTTTAGTAATAAATTGGGAACATATCTAACCAAAAGCTAGGCCTAATCTAAACAAATATCCACAGATCTGGTTAATTGAAAATATTATAATACAGTTTCCTACGAATTTTCGAGTGTGGGGCACTCGAAATTGTTGAGATAAAAACCCGATTATTTAGCATTTTTGATTAGGGAATTATACTCAAATTGTATGACATTTTTATAACTCGCATAACTTTTTAACGATCAATTTCGTTAATAAGCTAACTATGTATATAAAACTATAAATAAGAACCATGCGGCGAAAAAGGAACTAAGAACAAAAAAATACAAGTAAGAGGTTCTAGTCGGGAGCTCCCGACTAGGGGATACCCTGAACCCTCTTCTTCCAACATCAAATGCATATATATATATTCTATTTTAGAAGCTATATGTTAGTTTTGGTGACTTAAACTTGATCTGCGCAAGCACTAGGAGGATCTACAGCAAGTCTTTAGCTCTTATAGGTTCTGTTGTCCTTGCGTTCATACGGACGGACGGGCAAGATCAAGATCAAGAATATATATACTTTATGGGGTCGAAGATGCTTCCGTCTGCCTGTTACATACATTTGGATTTTGCACAAATACAATATACCCTTATACCCATTTTGAATGGGTTCAGGGTATAAATATGACCATCTTTTATTGTTATTGGCAATTTGTTGTTTCTGTCGGTTTGTTGTTGTTGTTGTTCCTTTTGAACGCGACGCCTAAGAGCGCAATCAAAAGGCATTTATCAATAAAATTGTTGGACCGTCAATCGAGCTATTGACGCCTAAGTAAACCCCATTCCGATGCCGATTTCATGCTAAATGCTTACGTATGTACAAATTGAATGAGCGCGACTCAATGAATCCATTTAAATGCACGCGAGGCAGTAACTATGGTAATGAATTGAAACGACTGCTCAAATGCAAAATAATAACCCGTTTTCAGCGGGAGAAAAAAAAAAACATATATATACATATATACAAATTATGGACTGCGATAATCGAGCAGGGGAGAGTCGCCAGCCAGCAAAGCCAATAATCGTAAAGTGCGGCAACAAATTAACCAATAAATTAATATAGAAATAATCATATTAATATGCCCGCTGATAACTGTCAGTCGGAGCTGGAAAGGAGCTAAACTAACATAGAGATGTTAATTTATGATTAGTTGATATTGTTGCCGAACGAAATGGGGTTTTCAGCTGTGCTGATTCGACACTTGCTTAATTAATTAATTCATTTCATGGACGTTTGTCCCGTTCCTGTTCCAAATGTGTTTTAAAGCCAACAAAAGTTGACAAATATTGGCGGGCTCTTAGCTGGCATTTGCTGACCATTTCCGACCATTTGATGCCCCTAATGTGCTCTAATCCCGGCCAACTTAAATGCTTTTCAAACGGTGGCAATCATTAAGTCGCCGGTACAACGCGTCGTATGAGTGATTGCCGTTAAATGTTCGAAACACAAAGCCCTGGTCGCACAAAGCACCAGACCCAAGACCCAGACTGTCTCTCAAAGCTTAACATAAAATTTGACACTAAACACACAAATTGCTTTTGAAGCCCCCCGTCAAGGGAACAACAACAACAACAACAAAAAGAGACTCAATAGAAGCCACAAAGCCCCCGTACGGACGGACGGGGCACATGATCGAGCCGAAGAGCTGTCAGTATCTATGTGTTTATGTGGCAATGTGTTGTGGGCTTGTGGCCATTCCATTGTCCGAACAAATCGTCTAATCATAAAAAGAAACTGAAATGTAATATTGATAAGCCGAAAGCGGTCAGCACTCACGCACTCGCACT